GAAAACCAACCTCCCTATTAGTATAGATACTGTCATCACTCTGATACAAGATGTCTCTCAAGGCATCTCTGATTAAGATACTCAGTTACTGAAAGCGGCACCACTGCATCACCTAAAATGAATGCTTACATTTATAGAAGCATGTAACATTTTTCCCGAGTCCCACATAAGGAAACAAATGCCCATGGGGTTCTGTCAATGAAAGAATTTGTTTATGGGTTTAGGCAAGGAGCAGGATTCAATTGCTCATGCCAGTCACAATATGTATTTTTTTCAAGACCCTTTTGCTGGTAACATGGCTGATCTGCAGTCTAGCAACACTGACTCTGTCTCTCATTCTCTATTTATAGAGCTGCAGCTAGAAGTACCACAGGACTGCGTTCCGAACAAAATCACAGTCACTGCTAAAGCTGCTTTGACTGCTGAGCCTTGCGCTAAATTGATGTAGTAAAAAGTCTTCTTTTTAGAATGACAGAAATTGGCTGTGCCTGTTACCGTGCTTGTGGATCGCATATGCACTTTCCCCATAGGGCTGCATGCAGAAAAACAAACTAGAAATAGGAAATCCTTGCTCAATAAGTTACCCAAGCTTCCATTTCTGTAAGTGTTGCATTTAAAGTTTTCCAGTGAGGATGCATGAGTTTGTGTTGTTTAGTAAAACATTGTTTTGGCAATTGGAAAATCTTTTATAATATATAATTGTATCAAAAAGTTATGTAAGCTGAAAATAATGCAGATTAATATATTTACAGTTTGTCATGGTTATACTTACAATTTATTACACTGGTCCAGGTGAGGTGCTAGTTTATGGAATGGAGATGGCTTGAAAGTGTGGCAATTCCACCTGTAAAAGGTAAAAGTATTATTAGTTATTTTCAAACAAAAGCAGCAGCATTCTCAATGCCAGACAGGATGCATATTTAGACTGTCTCTGACCCAAGAAGCTTACAGTTAGAGATTAACAAAACTAAGAAAGAAAAGGGTTTTGTGATTAGGCTTTGCTTTACTTTCTAGATATTCTCTTTTCAGTTCAGATCTGAAGCACTGAAGAGTTATCTGGGGAGACTGCAGCTGTGAGCACCAGTAAAGATGAACACGGAGGAGAGACCTGAACTTGAAGGGAGACTAGTGTCTGGTAGGGTTACCAGACCGTAATCAGGAGGACTGTCAATATAGAAGGGCAGAAAAGCATAAGATGAAGAGATAGAAACAGAAAACCACTCCCAAATAGTCATTAGACAGAGCCAGGCTCTTTCCTCAGAGTTCAAGCTTTTGCACTTGACTGGCAAGTTCCTTTGCTGCAGAACAGCTTTTTTTCACCTAGTTGTCCTTTTTTTATGTGCATAATAGATGACAGATGCTGTAGAAGCACTATGCTTTGCTTTGAAATCTTCCGGTGCTTAAACCTGGGTATCAGCTTCCACAGTCCGTAAAAGGCAAAAGATGCATTCATATTAGTCTTTTAGTTTGGTTGAGGAGCATGCTTTTGAGGTATATCTCCTTAACCTCCCCATTTACTGCTCTTTGGTTCACATTGCTGAGCAGTCTCAGAGCACTTGAGCTGGATTGCTTTTACACAACACTAAACCAGAGGACGTGCTCCAGGGGCATTCAGATACCAGACTAGATTAAGTCCAAAGTAAAACTCCTAAAAGACCTGTAAGAAGGCCATTGGGTCTTCAGTACCAGGTTTTTTTTTTTGCTCTGTAGTTCTGCTCCTCTTACACTGTACTAGTTACCAACATAAGCAGATATTCCCGCTCTTACCTCCAGAGCTTCTTTCCAGCAGTGCTCTATTTACTGGAAAACTTGTTTTTCCTTCCAGAGGAGAGCTTAGCTATACTGAACAGTGCTTTTATATGAGCTAATCCTCCATTTTCTTCTCCTCTAATGAATTAAGCTTGTTTCTCCCCCCGCCTTTTTAAATAAAGGAGTTTTTTCACTCACTGCAGTATTGTTCAGAGAAGCAGTGGTACAGTGGTAAGCAGCCTACCTTTATGAGGATTAAGTCTAGAAAGATGGTAACAAGCATTCAATCACTTGTTGTTAATGATAGCGTTCATTTCTTAAGCGAACATTACCAAGATGAAATATGGACAAGACACATGCTCCTATGCAAGTAGTGACAATAAGGTTCCGAAGGACTCAGCTTAATAGCTTGTGTCAGGTGATGAGGTTAATGGAAAAGAATTTGTTATTCAGGTCACTTAATGAAAATAACCTTGGAAGAGCTCAGCAGAGCCCTTGGGGTAGAATAATTTATTCCTCTTCTGCTTCCGTCACTGTAAATTAACCCAAGACATAGAAGAAGCTGATCTAAACATGAACTCAACCTGTCAGAGTAGTGCAGGAGGAACATCAGCGATTACAACACATTGTTGTAATCTCTGCTGCCCCTCCAGTGATTATACGTAGAATACAGCCTTCAGAGCAAAGGCTTGCTTTGCATAGCCCCATCTTTAAAACAAGACAGTTTGTTTGTTAAGATGCAGGTTATCAAAATGCTGTGCAAGAAGACATCAAAAATATTCACCACAAGACATATAATTTTTAGCCAGTGCATGGTGTTTGGATCAGCCAGGCATAGAAAAGAGAGGGGCCGCAGCAGCCATCATTCACACACTATTCCTGTTCTGTGTTTTGGTGATTTGTTTTGCTGCTCAGCTATAATCAGAAATAAGCTTCAGCTCCTGTGATTTGAGGCCTTACACTGATCTGCTCCCAGACCCCAGGGAGCCTCTATGTCTCTGCACCACCATTTTGCTTCTTATCCCTTAATTTAAAAGTGCTGCACGCTGACCAGGAAAACATGCCTTCCACATAGTGGCTACCTGAGACCTAACAAAGTAGTGCTCCATTTTTGGGGTGAGGGCTTGAGATATGAACCAGAATAAGGGATGGGAGATCACTTGATAGATACCCCCAATTTGATCCCAAACCTTGGGACAACCATTTTGAGAGCCCTAGATCCAGATTTAGAAAACCTCAGGCATAGACAAAAGCAGACAAGATTAGCACTATCCCCACCTGGAACATTACTACATTGTCAGCAAGTGCCCATTTCATATTCTGAACAACATGAACACCTCATCTGTGTAAAGCTGAAAATCCTTTTCACAGCCCAACGTACAATAACCTCCATATAGAAAAACAAGGCTAAACTTGACAGTAATAGGAGTGATAGAGGGGGAAAGCGTTCTTCCTTTGAGGCAGAGGCTGTGAATACAGCAGCTAGTGACTGACTGAAAAAGGAGGGGAAGAAAGATAAATGCAATTATTCAAGCATCAGGGCTTAAAAAAATATGCTTCTAAGAGAGAGAAAAAAGAAAAACCCGCACCTTTCTCTTGACATTTAACAAACTACCTAAACAAAGGAAAAGAAAGTCAAAGACCTTACAAAGAGAGCTGCTTTGTTACTAGATACCTTAAAATACATTTATCCAACCTTGCTAAGAGACACCAAGTGCTCCACGACCTACAGCAAATCCTCACTACCATTCTCTCTTCTTCCCCATGAGCCATATTTATAGGCTTCCTCCTGGTTGCCTCTTTACACCTGTGTGTCTGGAGGCTGCCAGAGATTTAACTCCTCATGTGCCGCATCCAGGGTAGCAAACTTGTATTATTCCCAAAAATACCCCTAGCCACTCAGTGAGCCCTGCTCCAGTAAATGACCCTGCATCTCAGCGTGGTGCCGACTTTTGGGAGAGTGTTGTGTGTTGTGAACAGGCTCTGTCCTGCTGTCGGCTGGGTTATGTAGAGGTTTATCAATCAACTACAGCCCAGGAGTCTTTAGCTCTTTAGTGCTATAGAGGCATTTAATTCCCAGGGAATTCAGATTCAGTGGTTAGAGGTACACTGTCTCACAACCAGTCTGAGGTATATCCTACAGAAGGTTTCTAACTGGTTACTTCATGCTGCTTTATCGCTGCTTTACTTTTGGATTTTTACAGACTGAGTAATGTTTCCTGTCATTAGGACTCTTTAACAATAGTTTCTCTGAAACGCCTTTGACATTTGCAAGGGGAAGCAGGCCTACTGTTCACCAAAACCAGCAATCACCCCTTGATCAGCAGGATGCCAACTGCCAGGGCAAGAGTGGTGGGCACACGAAGTACAGTATGCTTGAGTAATGATTAACACGCAACAAAGAGAGCTGCCTGTGCTGCAAATGGAAACACACTGCGTGCTTGGGATGTAAGAGCATTTTGGTCTAATTTTGCACTCTGCATATAGTAATAAGACACAACAGGGTGTGCATTAAGCTCATCTTTTGAGAAGTGCAACAGTAGCTGAATAATGCACACCCTGGAGTGTCTTATTTGTAGTGGACTATGGCTCATTAATTTTACATTTAAATTTTTTCAAACCCATTAAAAAAAACACAAATCTATTCTGAGGGCAGTTATGTAATATATCCTTCCACTGAAAAGTATTTTCAAATAAAAACAGTAGGGAAAAGGTGAGGAAGAGCTTTGCTCAACTGCAGACCCGTGTTTGGTTTGGTTTGCATAGGGCCTGCTATGAGCAGGTTCTTGGCATGCTAATGCAGATATATAATGCAAATAATGATAGTTATGGAAATCCATTCAGTGTTCACTCTTTTCTAGACTTTCCTTTCTTCTTGTGTAATTACCTGGGCCTTTTGTCTTCCATTTTTCCTACAAAAGTCCACCTTTTGGTATATGAACCAATACCCATTTCAGAACAGGTTCACATATAAAGCATCCAGATGGGGATGTGACTGACTTTTACGCCAGGCTGGGAGCTGAATGGTCACAGGTTCCTGCTCAGGAGGCAGACAGGCATGATTTGGGGCAAGATGGTTTTGCCAGAATAGCAGTGTGTGTGTGTTGCATGGATACAATAGGATTTAAAGAACAGAGGGTGTTACAAAAACTGTTTTGTTATGAGTTATGTCACTTCAAAAGTATGAAGGAGGGACATCTGATTTCTACTGTTCAATATGAAATATGACTATGGATTATCCCTTTATATAGGTTCCAACCTTGATGATGGACACCCAGTTTTCAGAATTCACTCCAGATATCACCCCAATAATGCTGGCGGCTCACACCAACAACTACGAAATCATCAAACTGCTTGTCCAAAGACGGGTTACAATTCCACGCCCACACCAGATCAGGTGCAACTGTGTGGAATGTGTCTCCAGTTCGGAGGTGGACAGCCTGAGGCATTCCAGGTCAAGGCTGAACATCTACAAAGCCTTAGCCAGCCCTTCGTTGATCGCCTTGTCAAGCGAGGACCCCATCTTGACAGCCTTCCGACTGGGCTGGGAGCTGAAGGAGCTCAGCAAAGTGGAAAATGAGTTCAAGGCTGAGTATGAAGAGCTTTCACAGCAGTGCAAGCTTTTTGCTAAGGACCTTTTGGATCAAGCACGGAGTTCCCGAGAACTGGAGATCATTCTCAATCACAGAGATGATCAAAGCGAAGAGCTGGATCCCCAAAAATGTCATGATTTGGCAAAGCTAAAGGTAGCAATAAAGTATCACCAGAAAGAGGTAAGAGTCACCTAAATACGAAGGTGTGTGAAGGCTTCATGTATTGGGTAAAATAATTCATTTCTCTAGCCTCCATGGGTTTGTTCAGGGTTGGTAGCTGAGAGCCAGCAGGGGTGAGTTTGGATTGAGTGGAGAAGCATGTGCAAATGGGTTAGTCACAAACCAGGAGGTTCAGTGCACCTTGGTGACAGCGTGAATCTGATGACAATTGAAGGCAACAGGACTGGGACTTGCTGCAATGGGTTATGGCTTCTATGACACCGACACTTTCTGTTTCAAAGATACTTGAATCCCATTTCATTGTAACCCATCCCCCTGCAAAGAACAGCCTTCAGAGATTTCCAGGTTTGTTAGCTCCGAAAGCTTTTTCCCATAGCTGCTTTCATACAGGAACCAAAAGCTAGAAGGGGTTGCCTGGCTTATGAAGGTCTTGACTGCAGGAAATAATATAATAGACAATTCACTTCCTCCAGCCACCAAACACTTCCTAGCACCCATTCAACACTTAATTCACAAGGGCCAGAGAAACGACAGCAGCAAAAGACAGCAGGAGAGATCAGGAGCACTCTCATTGTCCCAGGTCTCCATGTTACCAGCAATTTTGTTAGGTGAAGATGCTCACGTGATGCTAGGAAGTGGATCATGTCACGCAAATACTTCTTTGCACCTGAGACACCTCAGGCTGATTCTTGCTCCTTGATTCATCCGTGTTTTAGGAACTGAGAAGCAATTCCCAGAAATTCAAACTCCTGCCCATATTACCAGAAAGGAAAGACATACTTCTGCTAAAGGGCACAGAGCCTTTCAGAAGCCCTGCAAATCCAGAGATTTATAAGTTGATTCAATACAGGCCACGAACCCAAGGAGAATGCTGACAACGGTTTCATTAGTTGGCTCTGGATTTTCCTTCTCTTTTCAAACCTGGACAGAATTTAGTAGATGATATATTACTGTTGGCCAGTGATGTTCCAGGTCATCTGAAGGAGGAACTTAGCTTGCTTGGTTGAGGAACTGAATTTCAATGTTTGTTACATTTTTCTGTGTCCAGAGGCTGACAGGAGTGGTGGAAAAGCCTGTCACATTACTCTTTTCACTGTCTTCCCCTCATTTGACGCTTTGTTTTATGCATTGACCCAGATGAGGACAGCCTGATATGACACATTTCACCTCCCATAATAGCTGCTCATGTCATCTGAGGTAAAATAGTCAAGAAGTGAAAGATGCAGATTTTCCTTTCTTCCCTTTGGTCTGTTATGCCTCTTGAGTACCAGCGCCTTGATGCAACAAGCTGGAGCCAAAGCCTCAAGCTTTCTGGGATCTAGCACATGGTCACTTACTGCTCTTACTGGGCTACTCCAGTGAAGTGTCAGCAAGGCTCACTGGCTTTTATGTCAGGTTGTGTTTTTCGCTCTAGCTGACAGGGTTAGGTAACACCGTAAGTGCTTTAGGGACACAAACAAATAGTGAAGAATTAGTCTGGAGAAGTGTAATACAGTATACCAGGTCAAATATTCCTTGAATCTAAGAAGGGCCAGAAACTCTACTTCTTTTTTTTTATTGGCCTGATAGCCACAGACACTGCACCCACATGCACCCTTCAGCAGCCAGGACACCACTAGCACTGCTGATTTCGATGTCTTGCCACGGTTCAGACTCACTATTGACACCCAAGCACAAATCTGTGGCTACTCCTTATCTTGTGTTCACATTAAGAAACTGCAAGTCTGAAGGAGTTCGCTATATTTGAAATGTAGTACTGAACAGTCTTCAAGCTCTTTTATTTTAAAGTAACAAATTTTTAATCTTTGCTTACTTGCTTGACAGTTTTCATCTCTTTTTTTACGGCATATTTGACTGAATTCCAAGCATATGGACAAATTCCATGTTTTGTGATATATTCATGACAGTTCCAGCATATAAATGATAGCAAATGAGCACAAGCTCTGTGTTGCCAGCAGGTGGGACAGAATGAATGAGTTTGGGAAACCAGCACTACTGAACCCCGTCATCCTACCTGGTTATTCACAAATACCTGATGCATCCTGCAGGATGGTGTTTGTATGCCCCAACATATTGCAGTGGTTTTCTTATCATGATAATTAGTCTAATACAAAACACCAAGCAAGATACAAATGTCATTGCCAGCTTCTGAAAAAAATGAGTAGGAACACTTGTCAGGGAGACACTGAGAAATGCCTTTTAATCATGATTGAAGAGCATCAGACTGAGAGAATTTTTCTGGGGGACAGGAAGGAAAATAGAAACAGGTTTGGTTTCGTGAAAGAGAGTTCTGCAGAGAGAAGCAGCAGACTTTTAAAAAGTAGATAATCTTGTTCTGCTGAAGCTTTTTATGTCTCAACATTATATAGGATTGGATTGGATGGACAAGCTTTTTATATCTTAATGTTGACAAAGTTACAAGTCAAATCTCTAGTAGCCTAAGACGAAAATCCAAAGTGGACCTTAGTTATTTTCTGGGGCTGTGAGTTGTTACTACAATTATTAGTCTTTATATTCAGCATAAAGAATGAGTAATCTCCCATGGATTTTAGACTAATTGCTAGGCAAAGTTCCCACAGCTTGCTTTCTTTTTGAGTGAAATAAACCTCAAAATTTCCCCCAAAATATGAAATTATTCCATTTCAGCTTAATCGGGCAGATATATTCAACTTCAAGATTCTTTCTAGAGAAGTTGTTAAGTGAGTATTGGTAAAGAGATTGTTGCCTTTGGATGGAGGGCCAGTACTGTGTATTTTGGGTAGGGAGTAGATCTTAAAGTTACTTTTTCTTTGTACCAGCATAAGTGATCTGGGAATTTAAGAGTACTCTTCACCAGACACATTATTCAGTGTTCTTCTCTCCAGGGCATTTCAGATGAACGCACTGTGCCTTTTTTTTTCTCCCCATTGGACTCCCATACTGAAGAGTAGGTGCTGGTTTGTTCCAGGTACAGAAAAGTAACAGCATTCAAATTTCTAGTGCAGGTTGATGATCTCCGGCAGTGCACATACAGGACTGAAAAAAATCCTAATGGGAAAAGCTAGACATCTATGGGCAGTTCTTGCTCCAAACTGGGCCCTTGGAGGAAAGCTTTTTAAAGCTAGTTAGGCTGCTAAATGTGCAGGTAAGTAGGCAATGAGTTTTTAAACAGAGTATAATCTGGTTAAGTGCCTAAATCCTGTTGGAGATTAGACACTTATCTTGCTGAGGCATTTTGAAATTCCTCTGATGAATTAGCTGCATCTTTTGGCACCTAGCTACTGGAGAAAAATCTGATCTTGTATGTTAAGTTTTAGCAAGCAATTAGCAATCAGCCCCACCACAGACTCAAATCCCTGTTCCCCGCACTGAATCCAGTAAATATACTCATGGCATACACAACTTCATCTTTTGATCCGGCCTGAGTGTCTCAGTCTTCACAGTGAGCAACCTGGACGAGGGCTGGATTAGCAAGGGGAACCACTTCAGTTCAGTCCTACCTCCAGAGAAATACTGGTTTCATCACAAAGGCTCCACCTCAGTCTGTATCCCCAGGTAAATCCCACTGCCTCATGACATAGATACGGGTTTCATCTTTACAAAGGTAGAAAAATCTCCCATTCTTTTTTTTTTCAACAAAAAAACCTGGGAGGTACAAGTTTTGATTTCTCCCAAACATCACGTGTGTTAAGTATTTTATGAACTGACAAACGTGTCGTTCATGTGGAAGAAGACCTTCTTCCCTTAGAGGAGGGCCAAAGCAATGGAGAAGAAATTTCTTGCTTTTCACGTTTGTTTTTAATAAGCCCATATATCCTGGAAGGTAAATTACTGTTTACACGGAAGGAAAAATTTCAATTATACAGGAAAGATTAAAATGTGCCCTGAGGTAGCTTTGCAGTATATTTTATGGTAGTAAATGTTAAAACCATGCTGTGCAGTGTTCACAAGCTCCCTCTCCATCTCATCTTAAGTGTAGAATGGTTATGTCCTCAGTTTCAAATTACAAAAGGGCCCTGATCATTTCTTTAGAAGATAGGAAGGATTTAATAATTGTGATTGCTGTTTGCATGGCAGTCACAAAATCTTAGAAAAAAATGAGGTCAGCTCTAGTACACTGCGAAACATGATGAGTTAGATCAGCACAGACATGTCAGTTTTCTCAGTCCACTTTCGAAAGAAATTATTTTCGTAGGATCACGGGAATTCATGATTTAAGGGGCAAGTAGACTTTTCATAAATGTTCTGTAGTATATGGTATTTGTCTTCATACTATTACTTTTCAAATTCTTTTATTCATGACTAATTTTGGAAGTAGAAAGGTGTTGAAGACTTAATAAGAAAAGGCACAGCTCAGCTGTTGGGGATCAATCTTCACTATGCTGTTCTGGCACCAAATTAGCTCTGCATTTGTTAATTTGTTTGCATTTCTAAGAAAAGATGGGGAAAAGTAATCTCTTAGAATCTTGCCAGTCACGTAAAGCACAGTTGTATGTACAGTGTACCATCACTGTATTGGAGAATCAGCGCATAGGCTGAATGCAAATATAATTTTGGTGTCCTTTAAGTTTTTTTTACATTGCCAAAATAATGTAAAACAGCCATAGTGTAGCAGTGAATCAGGTCTAAAAGGGCAGATTTCTCCTTGTATGTAACATTCTGCTAAGCCACAAGAATATACATTCAGCCTGTTCCTGCTTTCCATCACAGGTCATTCACATCTTCAAAATGAAGTGAAACATCACAGTAGTGTGTTTTTAGTGCTTTGCGTTTTTCTGGTACTGATAGTTGCAGATATGCAGGTTTAGCTTATATGTCTGTAAGAAACACACACAATGCAAGGCACTCAGAAAAAAAAGTATTTTACCTGTGACTATATTGCTTAGCACTTTCACTGAATTAGATCAAAGGAGTGCATGAAATTCCCTCTCAGAAACCTTAATCTTAGTCTCTTTTACTTGCTGTACTCTAAATCAATGACAGGAAGGGAGGGAAGTAGACTTGTTTGCTTTTCTAATTTA